GATTTGTGTGTAAACATAGACATACATATTTGGAACAGTTAGCCATTGAAATGACATGCAACATGTTTAACTCATTTTAAATATGACTGTAGAAAACAAATCTTTAGTATGTTTCTAAACAAGGTTTTTGAAGTATTAAAAAATCCCTAATAATAATGGAAAATACTCTATTAAAAACAGAAGTGTCAACATAGGCATAATCTGTAAGTTTATCTGACTGCCAATGATGTGTTGACATGGAATAGTTTATACATACATAAATCCTATTCAATTGAAGGCTAAAGCATACTATTTCACTGGTCAGCCTTGATATGACCTCTTAGCTGTTGTGATATTATCCAATTCACTTTTCAGACATGTTCCATCTGTATTGTTTATGAATATAAATTGTAAACAACCACCATTGACATTACGTAGTCTGTTCTGCCATAGTACAAACAGCAGAGGACACAATGCTTCCCCTCGATTGCCTCAAATCCTTTTAGCATTATTGGGCAATGTGCTTCCACTCACAGCAGCAGCACCTATCTCTAAAGCCCTGGAGAGCTGACAGTGCCTGGAAGTCTTTTCCAACCCCATCTCCAACCATCACCAATGACCAACAAATAAGGGAGTATGAATACTCCAGCTGCCATGCCCCTGACCAGGGCAACTCTGACCATAGTCTCCAGGGTTGCCCTGCAGGATTAAGCCAAAGTGACCCTCCCTGGGACTTGGCTTAATACTGTACACTCGATGGCTTCATGACACATCTCTACTTTCCTACTGATTTTCTCTGGGAACAAGGCCTAATACATCACCTTTATGTATATCTTTATCTCAGGGCCTGCTTCTAAGGAATGTATGCTAAGATGATGTGTTTTTATTTCAGGCAAAGTAGCTCCTAATAATGAGTACATAGGGGACTGGTAGCAGTATAAAGGCTGAGTTGGTTAAAAAAAGACTTTTTCCAGTATAGTAATTTTTTTTTTTTTTTTTTGAGACGGAGTTTCACTCATGTTACCCAGGTTGGAGTGCAATGGCGCGATCTCGGCTCACCGCAACCTCCGCCTCCTGGGTTCAGGCAATTCTCCTGCCTCAGCCTCCTGAGTAGCTGGGATTACAGGCATGCACCACCATGCCCAGCTAATTTTTTGTATTTTTAGTAAAGACGGGGTTTCACCATGTTGACCAGGATGGTCTCGATCTCTTGACCTCGTGATCCACCCGCCTTGGCCTCCCAAAGTGCTGGGATTACAGGCTTGAGCCACCGCGCCCGTCCTGTAATATTTTAAAAAGTAATCACCATCCAGTTTTCTCGTAACAAAAGAGAAAACTTTAGGAATACATAAAGACATCAAGGAAGAAAACTTGAATATACCTCCAACAATACAAAAATACATGTCTGTAAGTTTATTCACTATATAGCATTGTTAGTGATTATAAAATATTGAAACAACCTAAATATCCATATATAGAAGAATGGTTAATTAACTATGATAAATTCATACAATGGAGTACTACGCGACTGTGAAAATAAATGAGAGTGAGCTCTATGAAATGATGTAGAGTGATTTCTAGGGCATACTTCTATGTGAAAAAGAAGCAAAGCCAAAAAAAAAAAAAAAAGGCAAATCAATATGACTTTATTTATATCAAGTCATATACCTAAATACATATAAAATTTTAAATCAATCAATAAAGATTGGGGATAACAAGAAACTAACATCCTAAACCGATCACTTCAAATTTCAAAAATGGCATAACAAAAAAAGCTGCTGACATATTTATAAATAGTACTCCCAAAGTTCATTAAAAGTTAAATTTCATATTAAAATGTTAATGAAGGAACATTTAGATAACCAACTACTTTGTGGATAATCACAAATTAGCAATAATGTGATAAAAGCTGGTTCTGGGTAGTATTTGTATATTAAACATGGTGACATTTTACTCTATACATGTGTTCATATGTTGTAATTACATTTCACCAAAGATTTCCAAATGTAACTTAAATCAAAAAAAGAAAAAAAGATGATTTACATTATGCTACCTTTCATGTAAGAAATATGGGGATATAAGAAAATACTTACATATCTGCTCAAGAAACACACAAAAGATAAACCAGGATCTGAAGAGATTATTTAGCTACAGGGGGTGGATAGGAAAGTGAGTGACAAAAAGGGGGATTGGGAAAAGGAAAAGGGGAGCAAGAATGAGGAGGAAGAGACACTCCTCTAAGCAAATCTCTTTTAAAGCTCTGACTCCTAGCAACACAGTAATACTTCACACACTCCCAAAAATAAACAGAATGTGAAGAAAATCCTGAAAAAGGGATATAAACACTAGCAATGAACCTAACTGCATTTCAAATGGCTAACACAGTCACAATCACTAGGGTCGTGAAGAAAGTATACTTAAAGCTAAAGACAAAAAGAACTGTAAACTATGCAATGTAGATAGGAAAAGTGATTCTTACAGGGATATGGGTTAGCAATTCTAAAACTAGTTTATATATATGCCAGAACAAATAAGAGCTAGGCTTCTCATTAATGGAGAAAGAAGTTACAAATATGGAAAGCAGAAAAGTTATGGAAACTGTGATACAGGACTGAAATCAGAAACATCAATTCAAACTATAGTTTAAAAAAATATTAATATGTTCAGAAACAGATGTGTGTAGAGAGGTAGCTTAGTATGCATACATATACTTCCTAGCTTTGTCAGCAGAGAGGACCTGGAAGCAATGGCACTCTAGTAGCAAGAAGCACATCAAGCACCCAGCCCCTGGTTTCTAACCACCATTCTCCAACCAAAAGGAGCCACAGCTGTTTGGAGAAGTGGTTGATTCCAGAATGGAGGTAAGAAAAACAAAGATGAGTCTGTAACATCTTGTGGTGCCAGAAAGTAAGGAAGTATTCAAAAAATATATAGGAGCTTGAGAAAGATGACAGGAGCCATTCTGAAGGAGCTTCTATTGGCCAAAGCTGGAACAATTTGAGCAACAAACTAAACGATGATAGTATTGGATTTTAACTCACAGAATAAAATGAGACCATACCAATATTTAAAAATACTTGAAAAATAAATAAATGTGGGAAAAGGAACAACTTTTCCTCTAGGTAGAATTCCAATTAATAAACACAGAAGAAAAGAGGGAAACAGAAAATCACCATTAGGCAAACACCATAGTAATAATTTTTATAGGCAAATTCATTCATGGATGATAAAATTAGACCAAAAAAGTTTGAGGAGAAACAGGATTTGCATAGTCTTAAAATATCACTCCCAAGAAGTTTATCAGCTGAAAATAGAATGAAAGCAATTTTACAGTGGAGAAACTTGGCAGATAAAACCTTAAGCAAGTGGCCAAGATTAGCATCACTAGTAATAAGACATCCACTGAGAAGGTTACAACATCCCTCTTGTGTTATTTTTCCAAACATAATTGGTCTCATTCCAAATATAAGAAAATATTAAGCAAACCCCAACTGAGGGAAAGTCTACAAAATAACTGACCAGTATTCATTAAAAGCATCAAAATCATGAAAGATAGGAAAGGTAACTGTTATGATGGGAAGAAACTAAGGAGAAGTAACAACTAAGTACAATATGGGATCCTGGAACAGAGAAAGAACACGAGTGAAAAACTGGCAAAAACTAAGTGAGGTCTATAGTTTAGTTAATAGTTTTTTTTTTTTTTTTTTTTTTTTTTTTTTTTGAGACAGGGGCTCACTCAGTCGCCCAAGCTGGAGTGCAGTGTGCAATCTTCACTCATTGCAACCTCTGCCTCCCTGGTTCAAGCAATTCTGCCTCAGCCTACTGAGTAGCTGGGATTACAGGCGCACACCACCACACCCGGGTAATTTTTGTATGTTTACTTAAGATGGGTTTTCACCATGTTGGCCAGGCTGGTCTTAAACTCCTGACCTCAAGTGATCTGCCCCCGTTGCCCTCCCAAAGTGCCAGGATTACAAGTGTGAGCCCACACATCTGGCCTAGTTAATAGTGTTATACTAATGTTAGTTTTTAGTTTTGATAATTGATTGTACTATGATAATGTAAGGTATTAAATTAGAAGGAAGTTGGGTGAACAGACTATATGTACTCTCTGTACTATTTCTGCAACTTTTCTATAAATTTTAAATTAAATCAAATAAAAAGTTTTAAAATTTAGAAAATGAAAATTCTGGCCAGGTGCAGTGGCACTTAACTGTAATCCAAGCACTTGGGAGCCTGAGGTGGGAGGACTGCTAGAGACCAGATAGATGTTCAAGACCAGCCTGGGCAACATAGTGAGACCTTGTCTCTACAAAGAAATTAAAACATTAGCTGGGTGTTGCAGTGCATGCTTGTGGTGCTAGCCACCCAGGAGGCTGAGGAAGGAGAATCCTTTGAGTCCAGGAGTTTGAGGTTACAGTGAGCTATGATTGCACCACTACACTCCAGCATGGGGCAATAGAGCAAGATCTTGACTCTAAATAAATAAATAAAAATAAAAATGGAAAATTCTATAATAGTACCTATTTTTACTGTAAATGTAGCTGGTTTGGTGGCTTTAAGAACCACCACTTATTTATTGATGCTAAGCTATCTGAGGGAATATGAGCAGGCAGGATCTACTCTGCAGTGTTACTTACTTATGCAGCTCTATAAATAAGTGAGTCCATAATATCAGACCTACAAACTGCTTCATTTGCTCTTAACCCTCCTCAACTAAGATAATGCAAATAAGCAGTGATTTGTTTTTTGTTTATTTTAATCATAGGCAAGATGGGCTTTACATAATGGTTTACACTACACTACAACTCTGATGGAACTGGTCTAGTTTTAAAATTCATGATTTTTAGAGTCTTATGATACAAACAAATGCTAGACATAAAGACTATGAGTATCTGGCCCATGTTTCATACCTAAGTACGAAATAAGAAACAGAGAAGTTAGACCCCCAAAACATTGTTATGTTCTCCCCAGTTCATTAAACATAACAATTTTCCTATTTTAAAAAGTTGTATTCTTACTTGGAATATGCTGGAGAAACCCAATATGGGTTGTCTTCTGCTGCTTTGGCATGACGCAAAATGGCTTCCCGAGGATTGCTGTCATCAGTCTTGTCCAAAGCAATGTTCTTCACAATATAGGACGAGAGAGTGCCCCCATGGGTTCCAACTCGGCCACCACGACCTGTTGCAAAAGAAAAAAAATTCAAATTAGAAACTGAATGAGCATGAGGATACATAGGTATATCTGTATACACTGTACTTGTCTGAACACAAGTCTTGAGAGTACTTGAGTGTCATCCTTTTGGCTTAGATTTATGACAATCAGAACCAAAGTAAGGGGTCACCAAACCTCAACTTCGCCGTAACACTTTTAAATAGGAAGAGAGTTTTTTTAAAATTATGTCTCAGTTTGCTTAACTTACGGAATGATGTCAATATAGAAAAAATTATAGATAGTTTGCCATGCATATGCTTTAAAAAGTTCCTCTGGCATGAACATTTAGAATTCAATTAACACAAATAACCAATATTCATTAGATGCTATTTAAACATATCTTAGAGCTTGACATCTTGGTACTGTACAGGTACTTTGCTGAGTATTACAAGAGAAAACAAATAAGCTGAACACACTGATTCATGTTGCTCTGCTGTACTGTAATTGCCCTGTGAAATAGGAACCTCTTTAAGGGCAGGGATGTGTTCCCCACTGGAGCTCTAGCAGCTAGTATAGTGACTGGTACTCAAAAAAATGTAAGACTTTTTAGGCAAATAAAATAAACATATGAAAAGCCAAATAACACTAAAAGATTAATTTTATAAATCAAGATAAGAAGAAACTAAATAAGGCAGGAAATAATTAACTGCAAGATAATTTATATGGCCAGTAACTATTACGGAACTTAGAAGATAGCATTTCAGGCTGAGGTGGTTGAACAGGTCTTTATGAAAGAAATGGATCCAATTTGTGAAAGCTCAGAAAGTAAAGAAGATTATTCAATAAGCAGAATGGGTTAAGTACAAAAATGCAGAAAGAAAAAAGTTCAGTGCGTATTTGGGGACAGGAGTGAACCAACAGAAATCTCGGAAGATCAGAGTAGGAGAGAAGGTGTAAAGCTACAGGGATAGAAATTAAAGCTGTGTATAAGACAAATAGAGGTGAGGTGGGAGAGAGGGAGTGACTTGAGACTAAGTTGCCTAGTTAGAAGGGTTCACAATAATTCAAGCAAGAATATTATTTGGAAACTTTGGTTAGGATGGTGTTAGAAAAAAATGATTAAAATAGATATGCAACATGTTTTCTATGCTGAAGGAGCAGACCAAATAGAAACTACACAGATGATAACAGAAAATGAAACTCTAGTGAAGGTATGTGCTGTACTATTAGCCAGTGCTGCTTAACTTTCTTCTGGTACCTAGTTCTTTAAAAAGTTAAAGAATTTTATTCCTCTTCTAGTGATATCAACACAAAACTAAATCATGGTCACTTTCTTCCTTGTGTGAAACCTAATTTAGCCTGGATTCTGGTCAAAATGCCCAGTGTTGTATATTAAGCCAATATTGAGAGCACTGGTTTTAACACTGGGTTCCAAAGAGCCCCAGAATTCCACTGAGGCCTGCTAGGAAACTCAAGTTGGAGACCACACAGAAAGGGCCCCAGTCTTCCTTGTTATTTCAGTATGGGAGCTCAGTTTTTATCAGCTTTATACATCTAGAGATTCTGCATCAGATCTTGAAAGTTCTGTTGCTAAAAAGAAAACATTTAAAAAATACTATGTGGTAAAATCTCTCTGAGGACAAAGAAGCATCCAGGCCCAAAAGACCTTCACAATTTTATATCGATTACCCCACCCTGCCTCTGAACCTCCCTGCAGGTCACTAGCTGGATCACAGTCACCTGGGCCTGCTACAGGAGGTTCGGGTTTATGCGACTTCAGGGGATCCAGTCTGTCCTTCTCCAGCTGTTTCCTTGTACTCCGTTGGCGGGGCTCGCGGAACATAGGCAAGGCATGAGCTACAAGAAGTCACATTTGAAAAATTTCATTATAATAACAACCCTTCCATCCAAAAACATAACTAAAGCATGACTAACTGAAAGATGAAATGGAAGTCATAACGACAGCCTTCGTCTAATAATAAAAGACAGTCTTACTGTAACCAATTAGCCAATTTTGCTTGAGACCAGACTCATTGTTCACCTCTCCTGGCAGCTAATGGCACTCAGGAAATACTGTCAAATATTGTTATGGAAACATCGGTGAGGCTCCTCATCTCCTAAACCATGGGTAGCACTTAAAAATTACTGTGGTTTTGAAAAGAAACACATATTGGGACTGCCTCTTATTTTTTCTTCCAGGACCCAAATGTGAATAATGCCAACAGCTTGCTGTCAACCCTGAAGTTTCCTCAGATGTCTCATAAACACTGGAATCACTTCACACATTTCTGAAATGTGACCACCTCTCAGGAGGAGTTGACAACACTGAGTAACCGGAAGGGAGGAACACTTATCCCACTGAAACTGGGATAAAGGTTGCCATCAATATAAGTGGTGCCTAAATCTCTTGGCATGGGGACTTAATGGGGCCTTATCCCTCCTGCTATATAGTGGCAAAACAAGAAAATAAAAACCAAAGTAATAAGTGTTCAGTTGCTGTTGCTGTTTACTCAATTCAAAATTAAATTTCAGAATACAAAAGATTATAAGAATTTAAAAGGAAAACAGTATAATATTCTAGGGGAGAAGGAAAGAGTTATAAGGGGAAGTATTACATAACTCTCTTTTTCTTGCCCCCAAAAAGTACCAGCACAATTTCTTTTGACTCTTACATGCAGATTAAACCCCTTTTAAAATAAACTTTTCCCAGGGAACCAGGGGAGGGAAGGGAAAGGCTAAAGGGAATTCATAATATGAATGAAATATCTCTAACGCCTCAAAAACTCTTCTAGTATCCCCTCCTACCCTCTAACCACACTGCCAATTGGGGCCAGACCGTATCACTCACTAGTAAAACATGCCTGCCTTGAGTCAGGGGAGCTGAGAAACATAGCCATTCGTCACTCAGTTGGGCAATACAACGCAACAGTATTTTTAGGAGGGGGAAAAATAGCTTTTCACTTCAAACGACTGGAGGAATTTAAGTAGGCCGCATGTAATTACATGAGCTAGACTGGTTATGACATCGACTTTAACACTTCTACTCTTGCAAGAAAGTGTCATGATCCCGGATCTCTTTACTGGTCATAAGCTCCAAGGGACTTGGTCTTATAGGAGACCCACCACCAGTGAGAAAACCCAGCAGTACAGCGCCCCCTGGGCTCCAGACTGAGTCATTGATAAAGTCCACAGGGCCATCCACTAATGATAATCACTGAGCATCCACTATTTCTTTCCTAGCTGTCACCTGTTGCAGGTTTGAGATTGCGGCTCTGGGAACACATATCTGCCAGATTAATGAGGTTGTGTGACATACCTCAGAGAAAACCACTCTGCCCTAGTAAGCTTTCTTCTCATACTCCAGGTAGTTAATTTTATATACAAATTCCTGTGGATTAGTCTAGTACAGGGTCGTAGAATTTCAGAGGAAGCTGGAAGAGACCCTTCCTCTAGTTGCCACACTCTCCTGATTAAAAGTTAAGTTGTTCAACATCACATTGCCAGGTGGAACTGGACTAACCCAGGCCCCCTGATTCCAAGACCAGTACTCTTTCTTGTTTACACTTAGAACAGACTTTTACTCTTGAAAAGACTGCTATAAAGTAATGTATTGGACTCAAATAGGCTTTTCCCTTTTGGGTTGAAGGTTGCATGAAATAACCCTTGACCCTGTGATGAGTCACAGAAGCCAGAGGTTAGCTGTTACATGACTTGTAGTCCTATCCACACGAATGGGCAATTTTGTAATATATGCCTGAATTCTGAGGGCTTTCTCTGTCTCTAAAACTATGTAATCAACACCACATGAGAGTAGCACAGAGGCGCATGATTGAGAGGCATGTTAATGACTTACGCGTGATGATGTAGTCCTGAGTTAGAGTCTCGGCTTGTTTTGCCTTCCGCTGGGTTTTAACCACACATAATTTTGCTCCCCTAAGGGGTGTAAAAGCAAATTATTTTCTTTACTTGGTCTTAGAAACAGAAAATCTATGTTGAAAACATGAGATACTTTCAGGAACATACTCTGTGCACACACTCTGTCTAGACAAGTCCTTGACTTTCTGAGGGATGGCAACAGATGGGGAGATGGGCTTCAGTGATAAGAGCTTAAACTTATGGAAAAGCAAGTCTGTCAGTCAGTGGTTATAACCAAGCAAGAGGGTTGAAGAGGTAACAGGGCAACAGGACACGAGTTTACAAAACCTATAGGAATAACGTGAAATTTTAAGATCTTAAATAATAAAATTAACCAATCTTTTCACTCCAAAGGTCATAGGATTCAGATTTTAGTTTACATCTTAGACGACAGCAACCTGGATGGTCTACACCACAGATGGCATATGTCCACTTCTCAAACACAAGAGTACAAGTGTCTGGAACTGAGTTGTCTTGGCAGTGCTGCCAAAGGGCTATGGCCCAAGAACATGTGGGATTAACCAAAAATGTGCTTAGAACATTGCACTTCTCCTTAGTATTACAGAGTTACCCTTTTCAAGAGAAACAGATACAAATAAGTAAATTTCTTAAGGCAAAGATTCCACAGAAAGTGCCTTCTAAATGAATGCTATCAAATGAGGCTCATCATTTTCTCAAATGAAACAGACTCCCATCCTAAGTACATTAGCATTTTTAATTTCTTTTTTAAAAAACAAATAAAATCCTATTTGTTTTTAAATACCATAAATATGCTTTCTTGTTTAAGGCCAGGATTCCAACTCTAGTCCAGAAGGCTCTAAAGGAAGACAGGGCTGTCTGCTTTTATTCAGAGCAAAATTATGGTCAATGAATATTCATTAATAGAGGGTGGTGTTCCTTTCCTCAAAGGATGTGGGACCTTAAAACAGGTTTATAGGGGACTCCAGTGAATGTCACATGTGAATTTTAATGCTAGTTAACCAAGTCTTACTCTAAATAAAGAGCTAATCAGTCACTGTACTTTAAGAGAGAGAAACAAAACCATCCTTTTTTGGGTGGTGACACATGTCCATCTTTGTGCCTAAGCAAAATGGAAATAACCGAGGAATTGACTGAACCTCTAGTTAAGTTTTCAGACCTTTGAAATACAGTGGTATGTTTAAGTGTAACACTTGGTGGGCATGAGTGTGGAAGGGAAATGTATTTGTGCTGTCCCTTTCTGTGGGCAGAGAATAATCTTGCCAAACATCTAAACCAGTAACTGCTAGAAGCCAAAAAAGAAAGAAACAAAATGGACAAGCTGATTCATTTCCTGTAAGTGGTTAGTTCCCTGCTTTGTTAATCTCTTACAAGTATCACTCTTAATGCCTCTGTCCACGGTGGTATGCAAAGTGGGCAGAACGTTTTTTCCCCCTTGCACTCAACATTTCAGCTAAAGAACTAAAAATCCCCAGGAAACTTTCGCTTTGAATTCAGTGTGGATCAAGGGTGATATTCAAATCCTCTTTAAAGCACAATACCAGGAGTTTGAGGCCTTACTCTGTGATTGCTGCATTTTCTAAATGGGTGGACTTCCATCAAAGTGGGAAATAAATAATAGTGGGCGGTGGAGAGGAATCTCTCCCTCCAGTTGTTATCATCCATCTAAAACAGGCAATACTTTTGAAATACCTCTGACTCTTGTTGGGGTCGTAATAGACTTTAGCCAATCCATTTCCAGTTCCAACCATGATCTGGTTCAGCTTTGGATGCCACAGGCAGCGAACAACACTCTGCAAAGTAAAGGCACAGTGATTGACTAAAGAGGCCAGATAAAAATGGAAACAATCCTGCTGGTACTTTGATGGCTAGTCTACTATATCAAATATCATCCTGATGGTTTACCTCTAAGTTTTAGACATTTTCTTTTAAACCATAAAGTTGTGTTCCTGAAGTTAAGTTCCATTCCATCACTTATTATCTGGGTGATATTCCATAAAAATAAAAAAGATGTTCTCTTCCTGATATTATCTCCCTTTCTGGACAGCTTTGAAAGCACAAAATTAGGTTTCCCAGCTCCTTTACCACGTGAGGCTGGCATTGTGGAATGCTGAATCCACATAACTCAGTTACACTTACCACCGAAGCAGATTTCATGCTCTTACACACATACAATACGTCCCTCTGGACAGCAGATTGAGGCCAGGTGGTTATTGTTTTTAGTTCACAATGATCCAAATCTCATAAAGCTTTTTCAGAAACAATACATATTTGTAGGCATTTAATAATGTCTCCCTATCTATGAGATAAAACAGCAGGACAACGGCAGAAGTAAAACAGAGATTCAGAATACAAAGACTTGACATTAACCTGAATGAAAAGCTGTTTAAGAGAAGGTTCACTGGAAGTTATGATCCTATGAATTCATTACTGGTGAAGAAAATAAGTGGTGCTCTGGGGTTGAAAATAACCACAAGTTCTCAGTGGGAACTACAGCCTGTTTTTAATTTTTGTCTGTATTAAGAGGGCAGAGGTGGGAGGGACAGCATGGATAGAATTAAAGGGGAAAAAGATGAAGCTAATGTTGATAAATAGAAACTACATATACTAGGTTCTACAGAACTCACTCTGATACAACAAGATATGTGTGGAAGCATTAATTCAACGTTTACTAATAATCTATCACTTGCCAAACTATACACAGGGACAAAGGGGGGAAAGGGTATAATTAAATATTAGCATTTTATAGTTCTAGTGGTAAAACGAAAATCATGACTACTGTTTCCTAAATCTAGTTTGGGCTAAATTTCTTTGGTTCCTTGTCTCTAATCATCCCACTCTTTTGTTAAAACAGAATATCTTGAAATCTCTGAGATCCTTTTTTATAGAATATTGACTCCCAGCTGGGCATGGTGGCATGTGCCTGTGGTCCCAGCTACTCAGGACGCTGAGGCAGGAAGATCGCCTGAGCCTAGGAGTTTGAGGCTGCAGTGAGCTATGATTGTGCCACTGCACTCCAGCCTGTGTGACAGAGCAAAGGAGGGAAGGAGGGAGGGAAGGAAGGGTGGGAAGAAGGGAGGGAGGGAAGGGGTGAGAGGGGGGGGAGGGGAAAATTACGCCCCCCGAGATGAAAGAAAAAAAAAAAAAAAAAAAAAAAAATAGATAAATGGCTACAAATCCTTACCTGAGATTCCAGAGGAACTAAGAAGAAAGCTGAAAAAAATCTACAAGACTTTTATTTAATTCATATCTGATTTAACAGACTTACTCTAGAAGAGTGGTTCTTAATCTATGCACCACGAAGAGGACTGGGATATTTGTACAGAGAGAATCAAATCAGGATGGCTGTGTTTTCCCCATTAGTTGGGGAAAAATTAAGTTAAAAGGGCAGGTTTTCACAGTGTTAGGCTTTCTTTCCACAATTTTCCTCAAATCTATGGTGCCTGCTACCCAGGCTAGCAAGTGCTAAAAGATAATAAAACAAATACAATAGTGAGTAAATATTAACAGAAAAACTTGAAAAAATAATTTCAGTTTTGGGGGGGGGGGGGGGGGGGCGGTTGTTGCTGCTTTGTACCTATACTTGTAAAACCTACGTCATAATGTATACATATAAAAGTCACATTTTCTCCTAATAAAAACTGTTCCTGGTTGGGAAGGGGAATTAAGTGTATCAATAGCTCAAGGTCTACAAAGTGCAGCTTCTGGGTCCTCCGCCACTGAGACTAATTTGAGAACCATGCCTAGACCACTGGAAATTCCCAGATGGTCACAGCCAGGTATATGGAAACATGAGGAGAGTCACAAACATAACTTGATGAAGTCATGTTTATGAAACCCTATCTAGAAGAAGTCCATCTGAGCCAAGACTCATTTCTTTTAGTCTTTGCTTAAATGTTGTTACTATTCAGACCACCCAATTTAAAACTGTGCCCAGAACTCCCCTTACTCTGCTTTTCTTTTTTCTCATAGCATGTATCATCTTTTAATACAATATATAACTTATTTATTAATGATGTTGATTGTCTACCTTCCCCACTAGAACATATGTTCCATGGGCAAAGATCTCAGTCAGTTTTTTTTTTATTTTTTTGGCAACATATCCCAAGTGCCTAGATTAGTGTCTGGCGCTCAACAAATGTTCACCGAAGGAACAAATTAAAAGCTACAGTTCATCCATGCCTAAATGGATTGCACTGCAAGGTAGAGCTGGAGACAATTTTCAGATTAGTCATTACTCCAAGAGGAATAATTTGATTTCCTCATATCATTATACTCAGGTATCCCACAAATGTAGAAGGGCTAGTTTCCTTCTAATGTGGTCCTAGAGAAAGAGAGAATGTGCATGAATCACAGAGCAATGAAAGGGGCTGTCAAAGGCTTTCAGAAATCTCAGTGACCCATAAATGGCCCAGGACAATATTAAGGACATAGTATTAGAGTTATTTCTCTTTCTTGGTTCTCTAGAGGTCTGGCTAAGCAGTCTAAGATTACTGGTTCTCAAATATGTTTTTAAGTGAGCAGGATGCAGAATTGGAAAAGATCCACAATGTAGGCCTGGTAAATTCCAAGACATCCAGCCAAACAGGCAGTTCCAGTGGCAGCAGGTTACTGTTACTGTCTCTCTCTTCACTGAGGGTGTAAATGTTAGAGAGAAGCAACTGCCCAAGCCAACAGACTAAGGTCCAATTGCTTTCCAAGGAGTCCAAGGACACTTCACCTCTATTCCTGTTCACATCTTTTACCCTCCAGAGCCTTTACACACTGGTTAGTATACGTTGTTACAGAGAAGCACATTTACCCTCCTTTCATAATGAAACAGGGAAAAGCAAATAAGACACTTTGAACTAAATAGTCATTTAGTTCCAGAGCCCCATGCACTGTGGCAATGAGTCACCAAAGCAGCCAATGAGAAGCCTGTGAGCAATCTTAGGCAGAGGATACTTAAGGCTCAATTACTCTAAGACCAGTTATTAATCAAATACTGCAAAGATTCTAAAACACAAAATGAAGAAAAAGAATTTAAAGCCAAAGGTGGGTGGGCCTTTTCTGTTTATTAATATTTATTGTGTGTGTTTAGCTAACCTTTGTAAACTTTGCAGCTAATGCAGCTCCACATTTTATCCTGTCAAGGAAATGCATCTTATAGCAGAGAGCTGGCTACCTGCCAAACCAAACAATCCCTGAGACTGCGGCGGGACTGGGAAGCAAGCTGAGCTGCCACGCTGCTAACTTGTCAAACATACATACCGGGCTTTGCTTAACAACAATGCGACACGTGCCTGCTAGAAGCCTAAGGAACCATCAGACAGATGAGCTACAAATACTTAGAGTACAATCCCTCGATCAACCAACCACCCCAAACTTTTTTCATCCTGTTCTTGAAGAAGTGCTTCTTTACTGGGAACTTGACACATTCAGACCTATGGGTTTACCAAGAAATGCAGCAAATAAAGCATGGAGAGCACATTTGAATAAAAGGACCAGGGAACCAGCAAGGAACATCAAGACATGAGATCTACAGGATCAAAGAGAAAGCCCTCACATTGTATCATGAGATTCAACTGGCAGAAGGCCACTACAGTGCAAAGAACAAGATTCTGAAATTAGTCTGTATATTTTAATAAACTGATTTGCTTAATTAAATTGACAAAATGTTTTATTCTTACATTAATCTACTTCATTTCCCAAAACATGTGGGTTCACTAATGGTAACTGCCGAAGCTGAATTATACCTTTCAGCACAAAATTAAGCTTATTCTTTTCAACCAAAGCCCATTTTCATTTTGGCCTTTTAATTTGGTAGTGGAGGCTAACCACAAATTTGCCCAGAAATAAGAGGCAAGAGCTGGAATAGGATACTATAAGCAGGATGACTAGGAGTTACAAGACCTTAATATGCTCAACAGAGAGATTTTTCTTTCCTACAGAGCTAAACAAAAAAAGAGAGGGGTAGGCCGGGAGAAAGGAGAGCACAATGTCAAACTAGGAGTGTCAAGATTCCAAAATAGGAATTTTGGAATTACCCCTTAGCAAAAGTGAAAAGGCCACAAAAATTTCCAAATAATTTATTTCTGTGGTTTTTTCGTTTACCTTTAGAGAAACCAGGGAAGCAAATAAGGGGAGGAGGAGGAGGAAATCAAAGAGAGAAATGATTTATATTTTAGGACATGGTAGAAAGGGAACTATCAGGTACTGGAACTTTATATTATTTAATGTAATTGAGCCCTCACAACTACTACAAAATTAATAATCTCATCCCATCTCACAGATGAAGAAACTGAGGCTGTAGAGAGTGGTAACTTTCCCAAGGTCAGATAATAACTTGCACATAGAGGAGCTGGGTCAGTAAGTAAGTTTCTCCAATGCTGCTGCTCACTCCCTCACTACTTAACCATGCAAAGACCTATTTGGAAAGATGGGGAGGACAGAAGGTAGGAGACGTTTACTCATATCCAAACCCACCTAACCCAGTACAAACCTTAGCAAGTTTGTATTAAACAGCAGATAATATTACTAAGATCATAAAAGAAAAAGCCCACTAGTTCCCAGTTCACAAATGTTACTATTAAAGAAATCAATGCCTGCATAACATCTTAGGTATCTGCAATGCACATATCTAAACACCACCCTTATTCTACATGTTAAAAGAAAACCAACAGCCTTCATAATTTTATACCTTAAACATGATTATGTTGAAATCTCATTTCCAGATCCTCCACAGCTGCAGACCCGTACTGTAAACCAAACTCCATCTGGTTCTTTCACATTTGGTTTTTGTCATATAGTACAA